TTTTATTTGTAACAATACACAACAAAAAACAAAAAAAAACATGCAATCAAAATAAAATGAAAGGCAGCAGAAGAAGAATAAATCTTATAATATCTGCCCCTTTTTATACCCAAAAATATGTTCAAAATAAAAGTTAATTACAACAAAAATCAAAACAACTGAAAACAGATGACATTTTAGTTAGGTCTTGAAAAACTGTTACATTTTGTTTATTCCAATGCAAATATCTTTAATATTAGGTTCCATAGTTTATTATTTTTTTCTTGTTGCCATTTCTTTGCTAAGCTCCTCACACACAGTGCTTGTGCTCATTAAATCTGTGTAAGGTGTATTTTTAGCCACTGCTGCTGTCACCTCCTGACTTGCTGGCAAACTGAGTGTTTGTTTCTGGAACTACCAGACCCATTAAAATGATTTTGTTTTGAGAACAGCCAGAGCCACTGTCACTAAATGCAAACTTGATTTCTCTTTCGCACTCTCGCTCTCTGACAGTTTCTTTCTAACATTTTCTCCTTACTGTTATAGCGTGACATAGCAGTCCTTTTTAAATCAATAGCAATTGCTCTCATCTTAAACAGAAACCATTCTCTGTATTGTCCAGACACTGAGGAGCAATGTTTATGTTAAGCAGAGTACGAGGCACTCAGGTGACCTTCATTTCTATAACAACCAGAAGATTGTTTACAGTTTCAAATTATTTGTTATAGAGATTGATTATTTCTCTGACCAGTTTTACTCTGTCAATATTGACCACTTTTAAATAATAGGCAATCAGCCATGCTATTTATTAACTAATAAGTAGAAAAATACAAGAAACAGCAGCAGCTGCTWGAAACAGCTTACTGTAGCCCATAATTTAGTTTTTGTAAGCAAGAATATATTTTTATATATTTTAAGTGTACAAGTTTTTTGGGGTGCTATTAAATGTTTAGGTTCAGCAATTGGTATATGTTATTAAATAAAAATACATGTGAATCAAAAATAAATAAAATGGTTGTGTTTATCAGCTTTCAGCTGTCCTGATTTCTAAAGATTGGTCTTGGAAAACTCAGTCGACCTCTAGTTATGGAACACGTTACGCTCACTCTCCACTTGTGCAGAGACTGAGCAGAGAAAAAAAGCAGAAACACTCAAAAGGAACTTTTAAAAAATGTGGAATTAGCTTGTGTAAACTTCAAGACTTGCACATTTTGATGTGCTGAAAGAAAAGACTTTTTAATTTTCTTTGTGATTAAGTACCGGTAATAACAAATCTTTTGTTTGACAGTAATCCTATTTAACTTCCAGAATTTATCACCACTTTGAAAGTTTTGCTTATTAGTTCATTAATAGAAAAAAGAAGTGAACTATAGCATAGAAAAAAAATCTTTTAACTGTGATGTGGCCCTCCACTTGGTGCATGAGGTTTTATTTTTTTCATCTTGATTTAGAATGACTTCAAAAATTAATCAGCTGTAGACGTATGCAACACAAAYAAGCACTCCTGATGATGATCTCTTGGCCATGAGGTCATGTCATGAAACTGAACTAAACTATTTTCTTTAAAGTTACTTTTGATCTAAATGTCTGATTGTCTGTTTTCTGCATACTTAATGTGTATCTCCCCCCCCCC